GTTTTCGGTTCATTTCAAAAGCAGTGTAAGAGTTCAGCGTAGAAAGAAAATTAAGTAGGATAAAAATTCATGTAAATCCACTTTTTCTACGTGATAATGGCTATGGATATTGACACTTAATGTACCTGTCAATCGACCAGTTTCTCCAACCGCTTATTCTACTGCACTGCGGAAGCAGACTCGCCGGAAGCATACGGTGTCTCCAACGTTCCCGATCCCGAGTTTTGAGCAGGATCATTTCATGCACTTGCTCCAGGATAGTCCTGGCTATAACCGGGGTCTTTGGCCTGTCGCTTTGCTTTCTAAAATCAGCAGCAACACGCGCTCAAGGCATTGCAGCTGCGATTTCTCAATCAGCGGTGCACACGAAGGCACTCGGGCCATGTCGACACTCGTAAGGCCAGCGACTCGTTTAAGAAAGCCTGTTTCAGCAGCCTGTACCCGGGATCGAAGTTTTTCAGTGATGGTCCACGACTCATGACCGTAAGTAAGCATGGGGATAAAGATCGACTTGAACACCGAAGCTGTGTGCTACACTTAAAAATTAGAGTCATCACCGGCATCCTCATCAAATCAAACGAGTTTACCGTTTACCTTAGCAGAAATAACACACTAAATTACACTGATTAGCATTTCAGCAATTACTGACTCATCGATACGCCAATATACATATAATGCACAATAGAAAACAAAAACAATAGTTAGAAAAGGAATGAAGAATGAAGAAAAAGGAAATGGATTGATGGATAGCAAATTAATGCGGGTAAATATCTAAATACATGGGTTACCATGAGAGGATCGATTCGGGCAGATTCAAAATTTCCCGTTCTTCATTTTGTAGAGTCCGAGCCACCTGCAGAATTGCATAATTTCTGCATACATCAGTTTTAGCGTAGATGAAGACATATTCGGAGCCATTATACAGTCGATGGTAATGATCGGTAGGTACATACTTAGGCGAGCTTATAATGGGCCTTACAACTGACCTTCTACGACGCTTATGCCATTCGTGTGGAACAGCTGACCTGTTCAGGCTTCCAGAACGGTTTTCAGAACAGATCGAGCTTTACGTAAGTCCACTCCTCCACGAAGGGAGAAGAAGCATAGTGCAAGCAACATCTGTAATTAGAAGTAATAGCCAGGTTCTTAGACACGTTTATCTGATTCCTCTGAGAGGGGGGTTTCCAAATGAAATTTGGCGTTTCAAAAAATAGTGGCACCGTCAGACTTTGATGACCGCGTTTTCTGCTTGCGCAATGAATTGTAGACTTTTGCTTGTGGGGATATCAAAAGAGTTTGTGCTGATCCGCCTGTTTATCTTTTGATTCTGCAGCGAAACAGAGGGAGTTACAATTAGATAATATATTATTGGAATGGCTACTTAGCCAAAATAGACATTCTTTAGTTTATTATGATTGATGAGTCAGTCATCTTCCCCTGACCAGTTCTGAATGGAAATTATTTGCGGAGAAATACTTTGAGAGATCATCTACTGAAGTAACAGTCAAAGTATCAACGTATCATCAGTAGATCTAAGTAATATATTTTGACAATGATCGTTCTTATTCTTATGATCAATATGATCACCATCGTCACTGTTCGTTGTCATCGCCACCACTACAGTCACCTTCGTCATCACGGCGTACTTAACTGCGAAGGAGAGAGGAAACGCAATATGGGTTGAGAACTACCCTTGTAGCTTCCGCATGACCTCAGAGCGGTTCTGCGGCAGGTGGCAAGGTGACGTGTCAAAACTGAGCAGATGTTCTGAATAATGGAAGTGAGAGTAGAGAAATAACCACCACGTATTATTGAGTCTGATTAAGTGAGAAAATTTGAATTTGGTCTTGAAGAACTAAGAAAGCCAGAAGGCAAGAGGCTATAAAAAGGAAAGGCAGAAGTCTGAGAAAGGAGCTGAAGGCATAGTCATCGCGAAACTAAATTGAATGAAGGCAAAGAAAAAATTTGGCTAAAGTATAAAATCACGTTGGACTAAAAGGATGGGAGCCACCGCATCTATTTATATACTGGAATCGATATCCGTAGGATAAATATTTTTCACTGTCTACAGAAATTAATAACAGAAGCAAGACA